CTGTCAAGGGTAGGAAATCTCCTAGTTATAGCCTAAGTCCAGCTAGCTTAATTTTTTAAGTTCCCTATGGACTGTTCCTGATGTAACAGTAATATATATGCAGTTGCAGAAACACAACATAACTTTAAAACTTCTTTTGTCAGCACTACCTTAAAAAGCCACAAGATGGGGATATTAACTATGAAAACAAATATTTCCTTTATTAAAATAAGGGATGAGTGTTTTTGTTTTGCAAAGTATGATTTTTTTTCTTTATTTTAGTGGGAGAGCACTGACATTTATCAAGCACATTCTAAGCATTAGGCACTGTACTAAGTGTTTGAAAAATACTATCATTTAACTCCCACAGAGAGACAGAGATTATCATCTTCATTTTAAAGGTGAGAAAATATGAAGCTAAAAGAGGCTTGCAAAGTGACCTACAAAGTTGCGTACATAGTAAGTTATAAAGTTGGATTGCAAACTCAGGACTGTCTGCATACAGAACCCAGGATCTCTACACTACAGCATGCGTCTTCCCTGTTGATTATTAGAATAGAGGCATTTCAGAAATACGAGTGCTGCCAGACTGTAGGGAGAATTTAAAACAATATTGAAAATGTCCTTTTCTTTCTGCATGTCCTTATCTTTTCCTGGTTATGTTCTTCCTCAGGTCCTTTTTTCTACACTATGACCCTTCTTTAATTCATCCTCCTTCACAGACTTGATTTCCTTTGAGTTTTTAGTATTCTACTTCAGTTAATGGCCATTATCCACCACCACTCAGTTGCTCAAATTATAAATCTAGGAGTACTCTACCCTTTTCTCTCTCCAGTTCCTTCACCCACATCCAGTTAATTACTTAATTCTTGAAATATCCCTCTTCTTACATATATTCCCTCAGCCTAGAACTTTTCCACCATCTACTGCCTTCTTTTTTCTGCTCAATTCACTCTTGACCCCCTCAAAACTTAGCACCAGGGTCTTGATGGCATGTCCGATCCAGGCTGAATTCATCTAGGTTACACGACTGATGCCGTGAGCTTCCTTCCATTATAGCACTTAGCACACGGTTATATAATCATGGATACCAATTTTCCCCACTGGACTGTAATCTTTCTAAATGTCAGGCTCATAACCTTCACACTGATATCCTTGATGAATAGCATAATGAGGTAATAACTTCTTAATATTTTTTGAATGAATGAAATATTTAATGCAGATTAGAAAATATTTGAATGCTTACTTTGTACCAGGCACATTTCACATGACCTGGGAAATAAAAAGATAGTTGAGACAGTGTCTGCTTTTAAGGCATTTACAGTGTAGTAATGGAGGTGAGAGCAATGTAAAATACAAATAGAAATCAAAGGATTGTGGGCCGGCCCGTGGCTCACTCGGTAGAGTGCGATGCTGATAACATCAAGGCCACGGGTTCGGATCCTATATAGGGATGGCCGGTTTGCTCACTGGCTGGGCGTGGTGCTGACAACACCAAGCCAAGGGTTGAGATCCCCTTACCGGTCATCTTTAAAAAAAAAAAAGAAATCAAAGGATTGTAACTACTATGAAAATGTAAGAGATCATGGAAAAATACGTTATACTTGTTTTATTTAAAAAATTACTATTCATAGTAAAGTAAATAAGTAGATCACTTTCTTTTTCTAATACAAAAGTTGTGTTCTGAGCATGGAAACATCTTGAAATATGGAAACATGATCATAAGATTTTCCATCATTGAGTAAGGGTTACATAGTAGCTAGATTAAGAGTGTTACACCAGTGGATAGTTATGTGTGAAGGAGAAAGCAACAATAATTTATTAGTTAATTCATTATTAGTAGAAAAATTTAAACGTTGGGGGGTTTTCATTAGCAATAGGGATTTCTTATATGTATGCCATGTTGTTGAGGTAATACCCGTAGGGTTATGATAATCTAGTAAGAATTCATCGAATTTTATGGGTTCCGCTCCAATTAACCTGCCTCTCTCCATGGAGTCTTTTGCTTATAGAGATTCTGGGACCATAACTATTTCTTCAGCTTTTTGTTTTTATTTTAAAATCATGCATAGTGTAGGTATATTAATATCAATATTAGCTATAATCTGATCATGTGTAGGAGCTGTTGTCCTTTCCTGTCCTGCCATCTGCCTTACTTTAAGCTATTATCATTGCTCGCATATGATGAAAAATAACTGCCCGGGAGTTTTGAGACTGGACTTTGAACAATACCTATGCTTCTGTTTTATGGTTAAATGGAGGGCTCTACACTCACTGCTTTATATCTTTTTCTCAAGTAGCTGTGTATACTTTGCAGGATATATACCGAAATTGTTCACAGCAAATATTTATCAAATGTCTACTGTGCCCCAAGTGAACAGAATCATTAAGGTCCCTGCATTTGTCTGCTTCTACTGGGGAAAAGCAGAAATAAGCATGTAAATAGGTACTTTCACTTAGTGTTAAATGCTGTAAATAAAATAGAGTAATGAGATAGGCCAGGCTGTTTCATAGTTCTAAAGAGTAATAAATATAATGCATTCATTGTACATTTGAACATAAATTCCATGAGGGCTGGAATTATTATCTGTTTTGTTCATTGTTATTTTTCCAGTGCCTAAAACAGTTAAATAGTAGGTGCTTGTTAGGTATTTGTTGGATAAATTGATTAGTTGTATTTGTATTTATTCTATGGCTTTTATATAGGATGATCATCCTAAGCTCTCTGCTTTGGTGATTAGGAGTTGCAGTAAGACATCTTAGGGATTCAGGGGCTCTTTCAGATCTGTTTGGGCAGAAGACAATTCTGCATGTCCCAATTTGGTTGAGCTTCAGTCTTAATATCCATCGGTGGAATAATGTGTGGAAAGCACAGAACTCTGGGAAGCTGTGTTGAATCCTGAAGTCTGTGTGTGGATAATCAATCAGTGGGTGCACATTTTTTTTTTTTCCAGCATGAGAGAGGTTACTGTCATCAAGCATAGTAATTGCTACTTGAATCTGAGAGTACTTCTTTTGAATCCAACTATGCCTAAATGGGCCTTCATTTTGTTTTTAAAGCAAACTTTTTGAAGAAATAGCTCAGTGATAGAGAAAGGATAGAGCTCTTTTTCAAAATTAGACCCCCAGTGCAGGCAAGAAGCAGAGCACTCCTGGGATCCTAAGGCAGGAGCCAGGGCCAGCACCCTCCCCCTGGTTGTAGTCAAGAAACAGAGCAGGCCCGGGTCCTTAGGCAGGAGCCGAGGGCAGCATCCCCTGCAGGGAAACAGGCAAGGAGCATGCCAAAAACACTACTTCCTCGCGGGTGGCCCACCACAGCTACCACCATAGCCATGGCTGCCACAGAAGCAGCTCGACACCACAGTGGTAGCTGTGGCTACTGTGCAGGTGCCTGCCAGACACCCGACTGCAGTGACACAGGAAAGTCACCAGCAGAGACAGGAAAAAGAAGAGGATGTCTCTCTCCTCAAAGGCCACTCCAGCATAATAGAAGAAGCAACTGCTCTACCCATGCCTCTGCTTTATTTCTGATTTTAGTAATTTCTGTCTTTTTTTTCTTGGCCAGTCTAGGTAAAGTCTTGCAAATTTTGTTGATCTTTTTGAAGAATCAGAAAAAGACTATTAGGCAGTCTACAAAGCATCACTGATGTAAATAGTTTAATCAAACATTAGCTTTATGTAATTCTTTTAGGTTATAATAATCTTTATATGCATTGTGTAACTTGTTAAATATGTAGCTATCATTCATTTTCTTTGACAGACTTTGTTATGGGAGATTGAAAGCAAGCTCAAAACTCATTTCCCAAAAAGTAAATAAATATTTTTTAAAAAAAGGGTACATGTGACCATGTCTCACCCCTGACTCACTGGGTTAGTTTGGGGATAACATAGAGTAGAGGGTAGAGACAAGACGTGTATTATGAAATTTTTAAAAAGTAACCTAGCTGATAACTGACAAACTTTTTTCTTCATCAACTAGAAACACAATTGAGTATCCTGATTTATCTAAATATATATATTTAATATCTATGTAGTTGTTAGTAATCCAATGTGCTTTAAACATTTTTTGAGTTATAGGAACCATGAGTTCACTTTATTCCTTTAAGTATTTCATTGTTGTGATTTATTCATAAAGTAATTTAATTTTTTTGTCTTTTGGTTAGAGCAGTAAAGGAAAACTAGACACTTGAGATAATTAATCATTTCAGTATTTGTGTACTCTGTAGGTGTAACTCCTGAGTAAAAGTAGGTAGTTGAGGACCAATTATTAAATTTTTAAGTTTAGGTTAAATCTTCATTGAGTAGTCTGAAATTTGGTTAGAACAGGCCCCCATCACCTTATATAAAGGAGTAAAGCATATTTTTATCTTGAAGGACAGCAAAACAGTTTTCTTTTTTGCTTCCCGGTGGGTACTTTAGAACATTCCCAGGTATTCCCAGTTGTCTTAAACTCTGTTCATGTTTAAAAGTGATGAACAGTGAAGAGTTATGCCTATTAAGTGTCATTCTCTCCTAGATATGCTTTACATCTCCCGTTTGGAAACTAGATGTTTTTCATAAACTTCTAACATACTTGGTCAAACTCCTTTGTTGGCCTTCGTATGTAAATAGCCTTTGTATGTGAAATATATAGCAAAAAAGTAGGTTATGGTTGTGTCTGTGTGCTGCCTTAACAGTATATTGAAAAGAAAATGAAACATTATTTAGTCAAACTGTTGGACTAAATTCCACAGTTTCGTAGCATTTTGTCAGCACATTTAATTTGCTTATGGGTTGTATTACTAGCCAGAAGCAGGACTAAAAATAAACTATCTCTAAGTTAAATATTACTTTAATTTATATCACACTGTCTTTAATTACCTGAGTACTCAAGCCCACAGATGGAACATTGCTACAAAGCCTTAAATTTTATAGTTAAATAGTTCTCTGAGAATCTGCTGTTCTTTGTCATGTCTAATAAAAGTTTCAAAAATTGTAAACATTCTCAAAAGAAGAAAAATTTTTATCTTTTTTTAAACTAGTGTTCAGAATCAGGTGGATGAAGTTATTGATGTCATGCAAGAAAATATTACAAAGGTAATTGAAAGAGGGGAGAGACTAGATGAACTACAGGACAAATCAGGTACAGATACTTCATATGTTTTTTGATATTATTAATGTATGTTTTTCTACTTTATGTCTTCTCTTACTTGTCTAGCCAATGTTTAGGAATCTTGGCTTAGGAAATTGGCATTTAGTTCTTAAGTTTATGCTTTTAGTGGTTTAATTTTAGCTCTCTTTACTTTGAATCATCTTATTGTATTATTTCTTTAATCAGTTGAAAATGGAAAATTTAAAAATTCATTCTTAAAGAGTTAAGAGTAGAGCTATTTTTCTTTTGCCCTATTGTATTGGTGTGCTTTGTATTTCTCATGATCTCATGGTGTAAAGAGATCATTTTTTTCCAACCATTATTTTCAACTTATATGACATTTTTATTTTATGCTTTCTCTGGTAACTTAATAACCTTTCTTAATTGACAGATGTTAGTCTCTGTACCTCTACCAGTTCCTGGCACATATTAGGCACTCAAATATTGTTTGAATGATGAATGGATGAATATCTGGATGATTTATGCTTTCTCTGGTAACTTAGCAACCTTTCTTTACTGACAGATGTCAGTCTTTGTACCTATAACAGTTTCTGGCACATATTAGGTACTCAAATATTGTTTGAATGGTGAATGGCTGAAAACCTGATTAATCTTTGACACACTTGCATAACCAAAAACTTTCTTACTCAGTTTTAAAATTCATATTGTTTTACTTCAAAATCAGTCACTTTTGGTATCTTCTAAGAATCTAACCTTCTCCACATGTAATTTTTTTTCTAAAGATGTGCCAAGTATTTGAATTTTTAAAGAGTATTTTCCTTATATGCTTATTTGTAAGCATTGAGGCCCTGGGAAGACTCCTCTTAATCTTATAGTAAGAATGGATTGGGCAAATTGATCTGTAGCTGTTTTATGCTTTGTGTTTTTGGTTTTTTTTTTTTAAATGCCAGAGTTTGTGGGTGGAGGTAAGGGAGGAGGTTGTTTTCGTGCTTAAAAGGGAATAAATTTGCAGAAGTAGAAATTAATATTTTCTTGTCTTTGTGTGACTAGATAAAAGAATCCTGTTATGTCGTTTAATCCTTCTCTCCATCCTCTATGTGATATAGAAAGCTTATCGGATAATGCAACTGCTTTTAGCAACAGATCCAAACAACTTCGAAGACAAATGTGGTGGCGTGGATGCAAAGTAAGTAAATCAGAAGATATTGGATAGATTGGTCAGCATCTCAAATGATATTCAAAGACAGGAAGAAAAAAGGGCCTGTAGAGTATAAGCTCTGAGAGAACAGGGACTATAACTATCTTGCTTATTATTATATCTTCTGAACCTGGGACATGGTAGGAACTCAGTAAATATTTGTTGAATTAAATAATTACTTTTGGGACAAGAATAACTAAAGCAATCAAGCAATGCCTAAAAGGATGTCTTATAGATTTCTTCATAAAAGTAATACACATTTTATTAATAATTTAGCCACCTCTAGACTTAACTTGTAACAAATATGCATTTTTAAGTAATTTATCATCAGTATTTTTTTTTGGAGCAACCTCTAGTATTATATAGAGATATTTTTAAAAGTGGAAACTAGAGAATAATATGATTTTCTGTTGAAAGAGAAAAAATAAAAGCAGTTTATATGTCAGAATCTGTTATGGCAAATGGCATTAAGAAAAAAAAAAATTCTGGGCCGGCCCAGTGGCGCACTGGATAGTGCACCGCTTGGGAAGCGTGGTGGCGCTCCCGCC